GAACTCCCTGCAAAGGCAAGCAGCAGGGCCTCTCTTTAGTGACCGTATGCAAACTGCCAATGGCAGAGTTCAAGTGCATTCAAATATGTAGCAGTTTTTACAGCTCTTTGTTCCTTGTATCTTGTGTTTCTGAAAAGTGCTTGAGATTTGCCTACATGATAAGTTTCCCTTTCAGACGGTAGTTTTACAATCAAGTCTGCTCCCTTCATGAATATCTCAAGAGAAAAGCTTTTGGCTCCTTCTTTCGTTCTTTTCCCCTCTGCATGGTAAGCAAAGATAATATAGAGACTCAAGGGTAACAGGCAGAGTAGCCTCACGAACTCAAATACAGCAAAAACAGAGGAACTTTTTTTTTTTTGAGAGGTTTCTGCTACAGGGCGCATGCGCTCGCCAGAAAGACAGAGACAGAGAGACAAAAGGCGAGAAATTACCCCAAGGGGGGATGGCCACGCTGCAATCCCTTTTCCTCCATTCTCCTCTGGGGATCTTGGGCATGCACGCATACGCGTTCGGAGTGAGTTTAAGCCACTGCGACCAGGACTCAAACCGCAGTTGACTACATGGGAGTTAAGCAACATAACCATTACGCTAACTGCTGGCCCCAAGAAGAACATATTTTTAACACAAATTCACACCTTGACGCCTGCTAGCTTACTTTCAGTCCTAAAACTGGTCTGCCTGAGAGACATTATTCACCTTGAAATTGATCTAGACAGAATCACTAGTTTACCAGATCTGCTAAACTGAGAAAGTCATCTCATAGTGATGAGCACTCAGGGCCCAGAAAGTAAAATGGCATGAAAACTCAGAGCCCAGAACTCAGACCTTCTTACTCATGCTGAGATCCCTCTCCTCTGAATCCCACAGCTTCCCGAACCACATGCTGCTCTGACTGTTCTCTGAGTCTGTGGTGTGGCGTTTTGGGGGGGGGGGGGGGTGGTGGAGAGGGGTGGGGTTCTCACTTTGGTAAGGCACATCTCCCAGATGAGCAAAGTTTGGTTTCCCAGATGGGTACTCATTGAAATGAGGACTGAGAAAACTGGCTTACATAAGACAAAAAGGCAGAAGAGGGGAGGTTACAAGTTGCTTGTCAAGCACTTACATTGGCTCATTTAAAATAATGCAGGCCTCTGATTGGCTGTCCCTAATCTTTACACTAGGAACTCAAGGGAGGGCTGACCTCATAGCCTAGTGTTTGACCCAGCCAGATCCTACATGGCCAAATGCAGTTCAAACCCTGGCCCTAGTGGCTTGAAAAACTCTCCAGACTCATGTGCGTGCATACCCCCAATCCTGACAGGATAGAGAAATGGAGAAGGAATTGTGGCATGGCCGTGCCCCACTGGGAGGGTGTTTTCCCCCCTCTCTGTGTCAATCTCTGACTTGCTGGCCAGAACACATGCCCACTGGCAAGTAATTAAAAGAAAAAAAAAACCCAGCTTCTGAGAACAAGAAAAGGTAGGGGCCGCATTGTGATATCTGTAATCCTTTTTTTGCAGCATCACAGCTTGTTTATTAAAGCATGTCTTTTCCAGCAATAACCTGCTGGGTGTGGGCCATAGCCAAAGTCAGGCTGGTGATTCACTGAGGCCTTTAAGGTTTAAATGGACCTTTCATTCCACAAACTGCTTTTCTTCACACATTATTATACAGGTTATTGCCAGCGTTACCTTTTAGGTCTACCCCCTTAAAAGCCTCTTCTCTAGTTTTATTCCTTAAGAGAGATTTTTGTTACAGGGTGCAAGCACTTGGCCAGAGACACAGAAAGAGACAGAGAGAGAGAAAGTGAGGAGCCGCTGTCTAAGGAGGATGCAGTCCCCTCTCTCAGGACTTTGGGCACACAAGCACATGCACCAGCATGAGCTTCAAGCCTCCAGGTCCTGGGTCCAGGACTCAAACCACACTTGGTCAAGTGAGAGTCCAGTGCCTTAACCATTACGCCACCTGCTCGCCCTTTGGTCTTCTTACTTAGGGACTCCTTAGGCAAAGTTACCACCTTAGAATGTCCCCAAACCTTAACCTTAAAAGCACTAATCGTCCCTTTGGTGCAATAATTAGGAGACTAGTAAATTTTAAATTCATGTTTAAACACAAGACGGAAAAAGTGGCCCAAGATCATTGCAGCAGCTAGTACCAGAATTTTTTTTTGTCTATCCCAGGTTTAAAATAAGCAGATATGATTAATTCTCACCTAATGTTGAATCTTAAAATGGAGCCAATATGTTGAGCCTAAGAGTCTCGCGTGTGTGGAAACCATACTTTCCCTTTCCCTTTTGACTTACTAGGTTCAGAGCAAGGCCCTGGGGGAAGACGTGCCTTGGCAAATCATCTAGTCTTTTTGCCTCAGTTGCCTCCACTCTCAATGAAGATAACAGTACTGAATCTGTTAGTGTGCTGTGTACATCAACCGATATGTAACATGCTTCAAAAGAGTGATAAATTCACCAGTCATGCTGTGGATGTGGCTCTGCCCAAGGGCTCCGGGGAGAATCACGGGATGATGTAACTTTGATCCATTTTATATCATTTAATCTGTTTAGGAGCAATGCTTGTTGTTGGGTTTTTTATAATTTATTTACTTAAGGAGAGAAGGGAGAAGTTCTAGAATCTTTGTCCTATGAAGGGGAAATTATTAATAGAATCTAAATGAGTGAGATAAGCCTGGGCCTAAAAAACAAGTCAAAGGGGCTGGCAGGTGGCATGGTGGTTATGGACACTAGACTCCCACATGGCCGACCACAGTTCAAGTCCCAGACCTGGCAGCTTGCTTTCTCAGTTTCTCTCCCTCTCTCTTTTGCTCTCGCTCTCTCTATCCCTCTCTGGTCAAATTATAAATAAATAAATAAAGTTAAATAAAATATTTTTTTTTAAAAGTCATAAAGTAGACAGCTGGAGCGAGAAGATGGTACTACAGTAGAACGTGATGCTCTGCCAGGCAATTTCACACGCAAAGTTCCCATTCAGATCCAGAGAGCTCTGAGTACACCCGGCACGTGCTTGTTCATGATCTGGGACTGGCAGAAGGCTAGGGAGTGGATCACAGCATCAAGGTCCTGTTGGGAGTATTCTCTCTCTCTCTCTCTTTCTCCCTATCTCTCTCCCTCTCTCCCTCCCTTCCCTTTCCCTCTCATTCTCCTGCTCCCTCCCTCTCCATCTCCCTCTTGCTTGCACTCTCTCTCTCTTTCTCTCACTCTTTCTGTCTCTCATTCATGGAAGAAATAAATAAATGAACTGAAAAAAGAAGTAAAATAGGCAGCTCAGCACAGCCTCAATCATCCGAGGGGCCTAGGCTCTAGTCTCAGGATATTGTGTGCTGGGGTTACATCTCTCAGGCTGTAAACTAATAGGGGACTCATGATCCAGGATGAGAGTGTCCCTTATCTAGTAACAATGGGTAGCTGGGCCCAGCCTGGTCATTGTCATGGAGCTGGTGATAGTAAATGGAATGGAGCTATGATGGCCCCCTGTTCTTTACTCCAGCATCCCCAAAGGAGAAGGTGCTCCATTCAAATCATTGTTCTGATGGGCCCAGCCCCACAGTACAGAAAAGAGTATAGCTCAGTTCATTTACTGTCATCATTGGAATCTTGATTAAGTAGTATTTACCAGGTCGCATACTAAATGTTTTCATATTTCACCTCATTTAATCCTCTCAACATCATTGTAGTACAACTACTCCTACTTTTTTCCCATTTTGTAGATGAGGAATTAGGCTTGAAGACATCAAATAACGTGCTCAGGTTTGCAGAACTCTCCAGTCGAAGAGCTAGAAACACAGACTGCTGACACTCGCTAGATGAGTCATGCCTCTGTCATTTCCAGATCAGCTTATTTCTTTGCTGTCTGTGTACTAGACCTCACCACCTGGGTGTGTCTCAGACATGACTGAGCCATAGAGTAAACTCATCCTTTCTTCCATTCAGATCCCTCTCTCTCTGTGTTCCCCGCCTTGTCCAGGCCCACTTACAGGAATTCTGCATTAGAGTAAACCATCAGCTGATAAATTCCTCTGTAAATTAGCTATAAAGAAAGAGGATGGGGAGGGCCAGCAGGTGGCATGGTGGTTAGGGGCGCTGGATTCTCACATGGCTGACCATGGATCAAGTCCTGGACCTGGCAGCTTGCTTTCTCACTCTCCCTATCTCACTCTATCCCTCTCTGCTCAAATTAAAAATAAATAAATAAATAAAGTTAAATAAAGTAATTCTTTAAAAAATGAAAAAGAATGAAAGAAGATGGGGGACCAGAGGTGGAATTGTGGTTAAAGCGCTGAACTCCCTCATGGCTGATCTCATTTCGCATCCTGGACCTGGAGGCTTGCTTTCTCACTTTCTCTCTTTCTCAGTGTCTCTCTGTGGTCAAATTGGGGGGAAAAAAAAGTGATTAAATAAGATTAATTAAATAATACTTTTTTAAAAAGGAAGAGGATAGGACATGGTGGGAAGCAAACAAACGTTCTGGTCGATGTATTGGTGTCGTCATTTATTTCATTTAGGGGACCACTGTTTAGCTAGCTCCCCATTGGTTTCTCATTCTCCCCTGAGACTGCTCTATACTCCTCCATGGGGTTGGGGACTACTCTTTTTATCTCACAGTATCTTCACTAGATGTGCTTTCTTCCTCTAACCAAATGTCTTTGAGTGAGGGGTCAGAGGGAGAAAATCTATCAGGAATTAAACCCTGAAAATACCTTAAATATTCAGTATAAATACAGATATAGGGAGATTGGTGTGAAAGGAGGAGGAGGAAACTCTGGCTGGAATGACCTACAAAGGACATTTGTGTCTCTGAAGCCTGGCAGATCTGAAAGGGCTGGAATGACAAGCCTGAATTCATTTCTGAGACTTCGTCCAGATGGGAGAATGGAACTTTTATGCCTAGTGTTGTGGTCATTTTTGTAGTAGACCAAAACTTTGTTAAATGGTGCTTAACTGCTAAAGCTGGAAAGTGCAATTAAGCCCCACCATGCTGCTAACTGGTTGTATCATTTACATTTCCAGGAAGACGCGGCCCAGGTGACTGGTCAGGGCATGGTGGAGGATCAGCAGAAGGCACCAGAGCACCCAGCCGGCAACATACGTAACTCGGTACTTTAGCTTTGCTTTTCTTGGGTGGTGTCCATCGTAAACCAGGCTCCAGAAGAAAAGGAGAAGGTTACAATGAGATCACATCCTTTACTTGACAGGGGGTCGTGGTGATCTTGCAACCTGAAGTCAGTCCACAAGTGTGTCACAGTTTGTGCAAGGCATGTGAAAATACCACGTGTTCATAACCTGTACTGATACCCAAGCAGGTGTTCAAAGGATATCCCTGAAAATACCTTTGAACCATGTCTTACACAATGTCATAAATACAGATTTCAAGTGGAATAATTTATAGTTCTAATAAAAATCAAGTTCTTACATTTCGAGGTTCACTTCTCTTTAAAAACTATACACTTTGGGGGGTTAGCAGGTGGCATGGTGGTTAGGGCAACTGGACTCCCACATGGCTGACTGCAGTTTGAGTCCCAGACCATGCTGCTAACTGGTTGTATCATTTACATTTCCAGGAAGACGCGGCCCAGGTGACTGGTCAGGGCATGGTGGAGGATCAGCAGAAGGCACCAGAGCACCCAGCCGGCAACATACGTAACTCGGTACTTTAGCTTTGCTTTTCTTGGGTGGTGTCCATCGTAAACCAGGCTCCAGAAGAAAAGGAGAAGGTTACAATGAGATCACATCCTTTACTTGACAGGGGGTCGTGGTGATCTTGCAACCTGAAGTCAGTCCACAAGTGTGTCACAGTTTGTGCAAGGCATGTGAAAATACCACGTGTTCATAACCTGTACTGATACCCAAGCAGGTGTTCAAAGGATATCCCTGAAAATACCTTTGAACCATGTCTTACACAATGTCATAAATACAGATTTCAAGTGGAATAATTTATAGTTCTAATAAAAATCAAGTTCTTACATTTCGAGGTTCACTTCTCTTTAAAAACTATACACTTTGGGGGGTTAGCAGGTGGCATGGTGGTTAGGGCAACTGGACTCCCACATGGCTGACTGCAGTTTGAGTCCCAGACCTGGCAACTCACTTTCTCACTTTTTCTCTCCCTAGTCACCTTTTAAGAATAAATAAAATGATGACAATGAATATGATTAAATAAAGCAATTCTTTTAAAAAAATTTTTAAAACCTATATACTTTGGTCTATCAAAGTTTTGTACTTTTTGTTACTAATGAACTTTTTCGATCCTGATTTTCATTTCTGTGTACTAATTTACACTTTTGTGCTACTAAAATTTGTATTGTTATTCTATTAACTATTTTTTTAAGGTTTTTGACATAGGGCATATGCACTTGCCAGAGAGAGACAGTGAAAAGGAAAGTGAGAAATCACCCCTAGTGGGGATGGCTATACCATAATCCATTTTCCTCCATACCCCTCTCAGGATTCTGGGTATGCACACATATATACCCAGCATGATTTTGAAGCCACTGGCTCTGAACCTCAAATCACAGTTGGCCATGTGGGAGTTCAGCGCCTTAACCACCATGCCACATACTGGCTCCTCTATTAATACTTTTATGTATAAGGAACTTATAGATTACTAGAACTTCCAGGAAATGTATAATATTTCAAACATTGCCAAAGAAAACACCATTGAAAAGTCTCTAAAGGGATCAGCAGTTGGTGTAATGGCTATGTCGCTGGACTCCTTTGTAGTCAACTGTGGTTCAAATCCCAGAGCTGGTGGCTTAAACTCACACCAGGCGCATTTGTGTGTGTGCCTAAAATCCCAAGAGGAGAGTAGTGGAGATGGGATTGCATGTGACCATCCCACCTGGGAGTGATTTCTCACTTTGTCTCTGTTTCTCTCATTCTGGTGAATGCACATACCCTATGGCAAAAATATGTAAAAAATGAATAAATAAATACAGAGCTAGCAGGTGTCATGGTGGTTAAGGCACTGGACTTCCACATGGCTGACCACAGTTTGAGTTCGGCTGTGTTCTCACTTTCTCTCTCTCTCTTTCTGGTGAGCACATGGACCCTATAGCAAATTCAATAATAAGAAATTAAATGATTTTTGAAAAGAAAGAAAAATACAAGTAGGTATGATTTTGATATAACCACAGAGGTTTCATAGCTTCCTCTGGATCTTAAATAATGTACAGCTCTTTTAGATTAATTAAATCAAGGAGCTGAATCTCACATGGCCAACTGCATAGTTCAAATCCCAGCCCCAACAACTTGAAAAGCACACTGATATATTTGCATAAGTGCCCAAAACCCAACAAGGAGGACAAATGGAAGAGAAGGGATTGAAGAGTGACCATACCCAGTTGGGGAATACTTTCTCCCTCTCCCTCTCTCTGTTTATCTCTCTGGTGAGTGCATGTGCCCTCTGGCAAATCTAAGAGGAAAAAAAAAGAGAAAAAAAAAAAACTGGAAGTTGGGTGTAAATACCATGTAAGTTAACATACAGAATTGCTGCAGGAAGTCCCTCTTTTACATTAGTCTGAGCATAATCAGTTCGGGGATGATGTGGTGTCCCTGCAGCGTCTCAGACCCAAGTACCTCTTATCTGATTACTCTACCATTCTTATTTGATTACTCTACCATCCTCAAATCACTTTTTTTGGTCTCAGTTGGCTGCTCTAATTAGTACCAAGAAATCTGTATTCCAGACAGAGATAAGAGAAAAGCAAGATCCTTCTCCTTAAGAGAATGACCAGGAAATTGCACATTCACGTCTGTTTTTATCCTATTGACCAGAACTTAGTCTGGGCACAACTGGCTCAAAGAGGCTGGGAAATTTTGTCCTTAGAGTAATTGGCTGTCTAGGTCATTCTAGTGCTTATTTTTCTAGTAGTAAGCCCATATTTGTCTTTTTACCATCTCTCTCTCTCTCTCTCTCTCTCTCTTTTGTTTTAGAGAGATTTTTTGCCATAGAGTGTATGTGCTTGCTGGAGAGACAAAGAGATAGAAAGCAAGAGATCACCCTCCTAGGGGGATGGCCATGCTGCAGTCCCTTCTTCATTCTCCTCTTAGGATTTTCGGCATGCACACACATATGCCCTGTGTGAGTTTCAACCCGCCAGGTCCAGAACTCAAACCACAGTTGGCCATGTAGTAGTCCAGCACCCTTAACCACCACGCCACCTGCCAACTCCACACCTCTCTCTTCTTAAAATCACTGCTAAATATGTAATTCAGGAAGTTTTTTACACATACAGTCAGTATTTTAAAATGGTGATAGAAAAAAATATCCAGGAAAATCGAATGAACATCTATGGGATTGTTGCCAGGCAGCTGTTGGGTAAACCCTAAACGTGCAGCGTCCTTCTGCTGACCTTCAGGCCTTCCTTCTCCTCAGATGAGGTGTGGCTTTCAAATAGGTCACATGGCATTGGTGCATTGGTTTATCTGCAAAAGAGAGTTAATTGTCTTAACTCTTGGGTTGTTATCATGAGCAAATGAATTCATGGATCTGAAAGTGTTTTGAAAACAATGAACCACAACACAGTTACACAATGGGTAGTGGTGTTTTAGTAGATCCATACAGCTGAGCCACAATCTTCCAGTAGCAGAATCTTGAGGTGTTATGGTTCTGGAGCAGTTAACTTGGTCCTATTTCTAGACTCCAGGGACAGCCTGGTGCTTCACTGCCTCCACCAGAATCTTCCAGCTGGGGATGGGTTCCCTGGCTAACTACAGATCCAGAAGGCAGGTCAGGTCACTACCTACATTTCTTAACTGCTTGTTAAATAAGCATGGAGTCCTTTTGGGTTTTCTTAGTTTTTTAACACTAACATTCATTGGCGATATTGTCAGCAAAAATCTAGAATTATTAATTTGCCAAAGCTTACGCAGCCAAAATCCCTGTATTTTCCTTGGATTGCAAGTTCATTCCCTACCCTGTTTCCCATGTCTTCCGTTTCGCTCTTCTGTGTCTATCCATGTACTCGTTCATCAAACATTTATTGAATCCTACTACGTTCCGAGCACTGGGTGTCAAAGGTGAATAAGGTATTAAATCTGAATTAAATCAACTGATGTGCCTGGCACCTAGTAGGCTTTTATATAATAGATGTTTGCTTTCCCTTCCTGCTCCTTGTGCTGCTCAATTAACCTACCTAATGCATCTTGGATAATTATGAGTGTGTCTAGAAGTGATGGATCGTGTTGTATGCTCAGAACATCTGCAGATGCTTTTCAATGGACACAACACACTTATGTGGACTTCATGTTAATTTTATCATGAGTAGAAATAGCAAAAAAAAAAAATGTTTTCTGCTTTCTACCCCAGCTTCATCTACATGTCACAGTGATGGAGTATCTTTAGCTTTTACCCTTCCCTTTCTTGACCCATCATTCACCAAAGCATTTTATATGTGGAGTTAAATATGGAAGCATGGGGACTAAAATCTTCCTTACTTCCTCTTGCCACCTCTCCCACCCTATATTTTTCATAGGTGTTATTGGAGTACACCTTGTTTTGGTAACAATACATCAATATCAAAGTCTCCTCTTGTTGCAAGCTTTCTCTTTTTTGACATTCACCTCATTTTCCTTTCTTTTGTAGGCCGTCAACCAGATGAAACAGCAAAAACATTCAACAAAGGTCTCCTTTAGTTCACAGGAGATACCTTTAGCACCAACTCCATCATACCATTCAACAGATGCAGACTTCACAGGCTATGGTATGCTTTCCCAGAGCGGAATGGACTCATGCAGCCTCAGAGAAAGAAGGGGGCTGATGCCCTCCAAGGGGACCTGGACCAGGAGCCAGGAAGCCTGACTCTGCATTCCTCCTCCACTTCCCATAGCTTTGGGCTTTGGGCAGATTGTTTGCTTCCTACACTGTTTTTCTCAACTCTGGAGTTGGGATGGCCCATTGTTTATTGAATATTAAAGTACTAGGGCTAGAACTACAACCGTTGAATCTGAAGCTTGCAAATGATTCTTCTCTAATATCTCCAAAAGATTATGTTTAGGTCATGAGTAATACCTCTTAAAAATCACATTGAACCCAATTTTCAGCCCTGCATATGTTGACGTAAGCTGTTTGAAGGCTGTTAATTTTGAGTGCTTAAGGAAATTGGTATTTACATTCTCTCTTTAAATTCCTGGCTTCAATGATGCTGACTGAAGGTAGAAAATCGAAATTCAGAATGAATAATGGGTATTTCCACCTTGCTTTTATACAATATAAATCAGTAAAAAATAGACTCTTTAGAATACCATGCTTACTAATGGTAAAACATAACCCTGTATTTATTTAGCATGCCTGACACCTGGTGGTATTTGTCTTTGAGATATATTTTCATAAATATTAACACATCAATATTTAGTAGCAGGTATTATTTAAAATGCTAAGTTTGTATAAAATGCTGATGAATGTGGTCAGCAAGCTGTGGCCCACCATCTGATTTTATGTGCTCTATTGGCTAAAACGGGTCTTCATGTTTTTAAAGGTTAAAACGGAATCAAAAGCATATTTCATGAAAATTACGTGAAATTTACTTTGCAGAGTTCATAAGTCAAGTTTTATTCAAACACTCACTTGTTTACGTATTGTCTATGGCTCCTTTTATACAAAGACAGAGTTGAGTAGTTGCAACAGAGATCAGAGGATCCATAATGCTCAAAATATGTATATATACCTGGCTTTTTCCCAAGGAAATTTGCCAACCATGGGTGTAGACCAGCTGAGTTTGGTAATATACATCACGTATGTATATGTAGATAACAGAAATCCATCATCCTACCTTTGTTTTTTTAATTGCCAGAGTGACTGTGCACTCACCAGAGAAAGACAAAAGGAAAAAGCACTGTTCTTCTCCCCCTATGGAGCATGGTCACTTTACAATCCCTTCTTCTCCATTCCTTCATGAACTTGGACCCGGTGCATGGATTTCAAGTTGTAAGAACTGGGATTCAAACCGTGGACAGCCACATAGATCTGGCTCCATTGACCACTAGGTTACTGGATAGGCTTACATCATCAGCCTACAATTTAACTTGTGGAAATGTTATTCATTTCCTCATCCAATTACCAAACAGTATAGATTTTTGGACCAGGTTGCAGCCCATCAGGAGACTCTGTGTGGGCCAGGACACAGGCTTTGGGCAGGATATTACTGGAGAAAGAAATAACAAAGATTGATTCAAGATGGCTAGGGTTAGGCAAAAGAGTGGAAGAGAGGAAAAATACCATCTTCACTATCTCTGTGTGTCTTTCTCTTCTCATTCAGGAGACTAAACTAATCATTTACAAAAGCGGTAGAAACTTCTAAAATCACCCATGAAATTGTGCCAATGTTGTACATCGTTTTTACTGGAAATTAATGAGAAATGTACTGTGAAATACATATGCTGCAAAAAGATTGAGATACAAATTAGATTTACAATTTAATGTTCTATTTCTAATGTGGCACTTTTTATTGTTACTGAGGTTGTGTCATTAAACTTCTCTTAGCCAAAAGGCCATTAGATTAATAAATTCCATGTGGCCAAGAACAGCCAGCTATGTGAATACCTGTGGTTGCCAGCCTCTGGACTGGGCACCTCCCACACACCGTTCATTGAATCTCTCTAACAGCCTGTTAGATCGTGGTTACGTGCATTTGTCTGACGAGAAGTGAGCCCTACTTTCCCCCACCTATTAATTTCCTGCTCGCAAACTCAAGTGCACCTGTGTGCCCCTCCAACACCTGGGCTCTTTGTCATCAAGATCATGATCATTGCCTAGTCAGAGCAGAACTTCAGCATGCCACCCTAGCGTTTATTTCCCTTTGTTTTATACCAGGGATCGGCAAACTTTTTCTATAAAGAACCAGGTCCTCAGTAGTGTAGGCTTGTGATCTACACAGTCTTCATTGGGGCTTCTCAACTCTGCCATGGTAGTGTACTAGCCACCATGGACCAGGCTTAAATGAGGTAGTACGCTGGTGTCCAGTAGTTTTACTTACGGACACTGGAATTTGGGTTTTATATCATCTTCATGTCTTGAAATATTTTTTTAACTTTATTAGCCTTCTGAAAATGCAAAAACCATCTTTTCTGCAGTTTGCAGTGTGCAGTGTGCTGACCCTGCTTTTACAAACGGATTTAATGAGCATTGTGGATCTCATCTAGGCTTCTGTGTATCAGCTGCAGCTGACCAGCAGAGGGGGCCCTCTGTGATCAGCCCTTTACTGAATAATGTCACAGTGTAAGAATCAGTGTTCACAATGATCCAACTTATTTATGAGAGAAGATGATGTTATCTGGAGACTATTATTTATATGAATCTCTTGAAACTAGTTCACATTTTGAACAGTTTGATCTTGTAATGGATTAGGTTCAGTTATCTGTAAAACGCACATATGAAGAATTTATGCTAGATAAATGGGTGTTATTAAACATCTTCTCTTAGCCTACAAGCATTTTTTTTCTCTCATTTTTTGGAACAACTCAGTCTAAAACAATTTTTAAAAAATCCTTGTAAAACAGCAATAACTCTTTTAATAGGCTTTTCACTTTTGGACCCAGAAGTAATTCTTGAGTGTTTATAATACAGTTTTTTTACCATGTGTATAAGGTATTTGAGGATAAACTTTAGATAATTGTTATTTCTAGCAGCGCCATACTTTATTGATCCTTTATTCATCTTAATTCTTTTTAAATAATGATTTAATTTTATTTATTATTATTATTATTATTGCTATAGGGTCTGTGCATTCACCAGAGAGAGAAAGTGAGAAAGCATACCACCAGGTCTGGGACTTGAACCAGTCAGCCATGTGAGAGTCCGGCACCTTAACCACCATGCCACCTGCTGGCCACATATACATCTTTTTTTTATTATTATTATTTTATTCAACTTTATTCATTTTTTTAAATTGGACCTGAGAAAGATAGAGAGAGAGAGGGAAAGTGAGAGAGCAAGGCGCCAGGTCCAGGACTCAAACCACCTGCCAGCCACTACATCTTAATTCTTATGATATATTCTAATTAAAAGTATTCCACATTGGATGGGGCCAGCAGGTGGCATGGTGGTTAAGGGCTCTGAACTCCCACATGGCCAACTGCTGTTCAAGTCCCGGACTTGGCAGCTTGCTTTCTCACTTTCTCTCTTTCTCTCTCCCGTTCTGGCCAAATTAAAAATATATGCATGCACACATACGAACATAAAATTAAATAAAATAATTCTTTTTTAGAAAAAAGTATTCCAGGGAAACAGCAGTTAGCGTAATGACTATGTTGCTGGATTCCCACATAGTCGACCGCGGTTCACGTCCCGGACCCAGTGGCTTAAAACTCACGCCGGGCGCGTGTGCGTGCGTGCCCAAGATCCCCAGAGGAGAATGGAGGAGAAGGGATTGCGGCGTGACCATCCGCCCTGGGGGGTGATTTCTCGCTTTCTGTCTCTGTGTCTCTCTCTGTCTGTCTGGCGAGCGCACACGCCCTATAGCGAAAATCTCTCCAAAAAAAAAAAAAAACAATATTCCATATTGGAACCAGCAGATAGGTATAATGGTTACATCGTTGGACTCCCAGGTGGTTGACTACTGTTGGAGTCCTAAACCCAGCAGCTTAAAACTCACGCCAGACGCATGCACATACATGCCCAAGATTCTGGGAAGGGGAATGGAGGAGAAGGGATTGCAGTGTGGCCATCCACCCTAGATGGTGGTTTCTCACTTTCTGTCTCTGTATCTCTCTGTCTGGCCAGTGCACATGACCTACAGCAAAAATCTCACTTTAAAAAAGTGCATTATTTCTCAATTAGTAGTCTGTAAATCAAAATCTTCTGTTATACCAACATACACTATATGTAACACATACTTTTATGGACCTAGTCATTTAGCCATCTTAACCTTTTCATACTGGTTTTCATGATATATTTTAAGATTTGAAAAAATTCAAGTATAACTAAAACTGATGGGGTGAGGGATCGGGGGAACTATTGCTTTCATCTCAAAAATGTCACGGGAAGTCATGTTTCAGCCCTGGGTGAATAGGCAGTAATGGCCTAGCTTTTACCTTCCCAGGATGTGGCAGGAAAAGTGAAATGATAAACACACACAAACCCTGCACGCCCCTGGAGCCACGTCTCCTATGTGCTAGTCACTCTGTGTTCCATTCTTCCCAGGTGGCTTCCAGGCTCCCCTGTCTGTGGACCCTGCGACATGTCCCATTGTGCCTGGCCAGGAAATGATTATAGAAATATCCAAGGGACGCTCCGGACTGGGTCTCAGCATTGTGGGAGGAAAAGACACACCCTTGGTAAGTTTCTAGACATGAAATTATCCGCTTAGAATTAGTTATTGAGCCTCATTATAGCCCTGTGTCACGTCTATGGAAGACTTTTGCTTTTGTTCTGTTTTGTTTTTAATTAATACGATTTATTAACCTAACAATTGTTACAGTGTGTTTTTTTCAGTATATGAAAAAATATCGGGGTAATTATTATCTTATTGTCTCAACCATCTTAATTGTATATACAGTAAATCATAATTAACCTCATTCCACTGTATTTTATAGTACTAGATAGTGTTCCTTCATAATATGGAGAAAAAAAAGCATAATTATAAGTAGCAGTATATCCTTATTCTGGCTTGCTGACATGTTTTTCTCAGTGTTTAATTTTCATCAGGATTTTGTACATCTGGATATTAAGTATTGTTTTATAGATGTTCATTAGATCAACAATGTCATAGTAGCCTTTAGAAGCATCATAACAGAGGACCAGCAGATGGCCTATTGGTTACAAAGCTGGACTCCCACAAGGCCAACTATGGTTCGAGTCCTGGACTTGTTGACTTCAAAAGCATGCCAGGCACGTGTGCATGTGTGTCCAAACTCTCAAGAGGAGAATGGAGGACAAGGGAATACGGCACAGCCATCTCCTCTGGGGGTGATTTCTTGTTTTCTTTCTCTGTCTCTGTCTGTCTGTCTGTCTCTCTCTCTCTGGCAAGTGTACTCGCCCTATGGCAAAAATCTCTCTTTAAAAAAAAAGAAGTATTGGGGGACCAGCGAGGCTGGTTAAGGCACTGGACACTCCCACATGGCCGACTGCAGTTCGAATACCGGACCTGGTGGCTTGCTTTCTCACTTTCCCTCTCTCTCTCTGTGTATCTCTCTCTGGTCAAATTAAAATAAATGAATCAATAAATAAAATCAAATAAATAATAATTTTTTTAAAAAATAGAAGTATTGAGGCCAGCAGGTGGTATGGTGGTTAAGGGTGCTGGACTTGCACGTGGTCAACTGCAGCTCAAGTCCCAGACCTGGTGGCTTGTTGCTTGCTTTCTCACTTTCTCTCTCTCTCTCTCTCTCTCTCTGCAGCTTGTTTTCTCTCTCTCTCTCTCTCTCTTTCTCTCTCCCACTCCTACTCTGTCCTTCTCTGGTAAAATTAAAGTAAATAAATAAAATTAAGTTCAATGAAAATAACTCTTTTAAAAAAGTAAGTATTATAACAGAATTTTGGACAGTACCTGGCACATAGTAAGTGTTCAATAAGTAGAAACTATTCTTATTACCATCATCTATTATTTGTTTTTTAATGGATTGGTAGGTAAAAAGAAAATGTCAGTTATTCCAGCTCAACAATTTGGCTTTATTTTATTCTGACCATGTTCATATCCACTCACAAATTCCCCTCTACCAACCCCACTGCCCCCAAAAATACCCTGAGTATCTTCCTAGAGAAAATCACTCTTATTAATATTGCTTTCTTTTTTTGTTTGTTTTTGTTTTTGTTTTTGTTTTTGTTATAGGGTTCATGTGCTCACCAGAAAGATACATAGAGGGAAAGTGAGAAATCACTTGGAGCGGGGGTGGGGGTGTCTCCTTTCAGGATTTTGGGTATGCACACACACTCACCTGCCATGATTTTCAAGTCGCCAGATCGGGGGCTCAAACCATAGAGTCAGTTAAATGGGATCTAGTCCCTTAACCTCCTTTCTGCTTACTATCTCCAGTGGATTATGTTTTTAAATGATTTTTTTGGCATTTATTTTGCACATTTTATTTAGTAAGGAATAAAGTGTATGTGACAGATTTACAGATAAAACAAAGATAATATGATTCACAAAATGTTTTTTTTGAGGCAAATGCAGTGACACACATGTAATCCCAGCTACTGGAGAGGTTAAGGCAAGAGACAGCAAGACACTGTCTCTTTTTTTTTTAATTTGTTTTTAAAAATTATTTATTTTAGGGGCTGGCAAGTGGTATAGTGGTTAAAGGCACTGGACTCCCACATGGCCAACCATGGGTCAAGTCTTAGACCTGGTGGCTTGTGCTCTCTCTCTCTCTTTGTATCTCTGGTCAAAATTGAAAAATGATGATAATAAATAAAAATATTTTTAAAAGAATTATTTGTTTTTTTACTTCTTTTTTTTTTCATTTGACCAGAGAAAGAGAGAAAGGGAAAGTGAGAAAACAAGCCACTAACCTGAGTTGGCCATGTGGGAGTCCAACGCCTTAACTACCACACTACCTGCTGACCCCAAGATATGGTCTTTTAAAACAAAAAATAAAAAGGCTATTTTTTCCCCTTTTTGGCAGGAATATCATGTTTCTTTGTTTGTGCTATTGGGGGCAAAGAGATCCTATTCTGCTTTTCTGTAATAGACGTTAATCCCCCCAATGTACTAGGAAACTCAAGAACAGCATATGCCACTGAAGCCTGGAACTTAAGGCCTCCTGCATATTTGCTGGTCATATTCCTTCTCTCTCCTGCCATCTGGCTTGCTCTAGAGGGTTCTGGTGGTTAGTCTGACTCTGTTAGTGAACTGTCTCGCCTCTACCCAAATGTGCGCAGAGGCTGGTGTTTGTTTACTAAAGGAATTTTATCTCCATCAACCTGATTCAAGTATTGTTTAGACTCTTTTTTTCATCTGTATCCTGAATTCTCCCTTTGCCTGTGCAGGTAGGAACTGCTGTTCCTGGCTTCATGCCTACACTGTGATGTTTTTATCACTTGAATGGAACAGAGGACACCTGAGGTTCCCCAGTTCTGAGACCAGGTGTAGTTCCCAGCCCTTTCTATAGTCTTTATCTCCCAGATTCTCCTACATTTCTTGTTGCCTGGCCTAGAATATTATCTGTTCAGCTTTTATCATTGAAGAAAGAGGCAAGCCTTTCCCTCAAGGTTTTCCTGCAAATCTAGGTTGTATTTTTAAGTTTTATTTTGTAATAATGCTTTCTAATTTTATTGGGTTGTTGGAAAAGTCATGACACATTTTTGCATAGAAAAATAGTCCAAATTACTCTCTTCCTGCCCTCCTGCCCCTGCTCCCATCACCCTTCTTTTTTGTTTTTAAGTTTGCCGTAGTGTGTGTGCACTCACCGGATTGAGAACAAGAGAGAAAGCAAGCAATCATCCCCCTCAGGGAGATGACCATGCCATAATGCCTTCTCCGTTCTCCTCTTGGTGCACATGCACCTGGCATGTTTTCCAAGCTGATGTTCTGGGACTCAAACTACAGTCATGTGGGATTCAGCTGCCCTCACCTCTACACCACCTGCTGGCCCCCATTAACCTTCTGCATGTCCTCCAAGCTGTCTCTCCCAGGAGATCTGTCCTGGCTCCCATGACAGGCCTTGGCCAGACTCAGAACTGATGCTTAATTATTCCTCACTAACTAGGGAAGCATCCTTAACCTCCCAGAATCTACCTCCTCGTCTGCTAACAGAGAGAGAGTTATGCGTCACCTAATGACAGTGAGAAATACTCTGAGAGGTGTGCGGTGAGATATTTGTCATTGTGTGACTATCTTAGAGTTTGGTTGGGTAAACCTACATGATATAGCCCACTACACACCTGGACCATGTAGTATAGCCTTTATGTTCCTTATGGAAGCATTGCCATGTATGTGGTTTGTCGTTGACTGAGTCGTTACACAGCACCCAACTATATATAGACAAACACCTAATTGTCATCCAAGGCCATTGAGATAGTTTCTGACTCTGAGCACTGGATAATGTCCCCCTCCCAAGGGTCTATTTCCTCATTTTCCCAAGGAGGAAATGATAAATAAATTGACTTTTTCTTTTTTCTCTTTTAAGAGACTTTTGCTATAGGGCATGTGCACTTGCGGAAGAGACAGACAAAGAACAAGAAATCATCCCCTGGGGGGATGGCCTTGCCGCAGTCCCTTCTCTTCCATTCCAGGATTTTGTGCACACATGCACACTTGCCTGGCTTGAGTTTTAAGCCACCAGGTCTAGGACTCAAACCAGTTCGACGATGTGGGAGTCCAGCAACATAACCATTACACCATCTGCTGTCCCAACCTTTCTTTTTCTTTTTTTTAAGAATTACTTATTTAATTTTATTTATCTATTTATTTTTATTTGCCGTAGGGCATTGGACACTGGACTCTCACATGGCCAACCTCAGTTCAAGTCCCAAACTTGGCAGCTTGCTTTCTCACTCCTCCCTCCCCCTGTTGAACACATGTGCCTTATAGCAAATTTTAAAACAATGATAATCAATAAAATTAAATAATTCTTTTTTTTAAAGCCCTCTGATTGGTCTTTTGTAAATCTAGGTCTCTCTGTATTATTAAAAATAAGGCATAACTCAGTCTATAAGAAATCAGAAGAGTTTAATCGGCATGTGTGGCCTAGCCAAATGAGCTATAGTTTTCATTCTTTCTTTATTCTCCTTTGTTGTTATTGATATGACTTTGCTGTGTGGGTGGTCAGAACACCTGAAGAGGGTGAGCCTTGCTGCTCTTGGTCCTGAATCTTGCATCATTTGCTACCAACTACCTGCTTTGGGCTTGCCCCGAGCTACATCACTGCTTGGACCCTGAGTGTGAGGCTGTTTGTTCAGTACTATGCCCTGCTTCTCGCCACTACGAGGCAGCCAGAAAAAAATTCTTGAGGAGCATCTTGAGGTTCATAATATATAGTTCTGCCTTTTGAGACTATAAATCCCTTTGTCCTTGGAAGGATAAGCACCACTTAAAAATGAGAGATGGGACACAGCTTTTATTCCGTAACCTCAGGTACCTCATCAAAAGCCGTAAGTTAGACTCAGGAGAAATATATAGGCCTGTCGGTTTAGTGAAGCTGCCCAGTGGGGGGCGGGGGGAGGGCGCCTTAGCAAATAAAGCCATTCTTCACAGTATAGATCCTTCTTTCCCTCTCCCCTCCAAATGTTGCCATGCAATCTGCAACTTAACTGACACTCTAAAGTCACGTTACCCCATCAGGTCTTGGGATTACATCCAGCCAGCAGGAAGTTAGGAAAGAGAGAGCATGTGAGAGGA